CCGCCACTATCAGCAGCAGCAGCGGCGGTGGCGGCGGTGGCCATGGGGTCGCCTTCCAAAAGCAGAGCATCACCCGCGACATTGACTCCGGCTCTGCTGACATCCGCCAGTGGGAGGGCAGCGCCATGCACTCCCTTGATGGAGCGAACCATGCGTGGCAGGGGCACCCTCAGCAGCGCGCGCATCTCCAGCACCACGTCCACAACAACCTGGAACTGGACCCGCAGCACCTTAGCAGCGGCTTCAGCAGCGAGAGCTTTAGCAGCAGCGCCAGCAACAGCGGGAAACGCAGCCAAGGCAGCAATGGGCACCTTGACCTGGCACTCGAGGCGGGCTGGCAGCACCCGGCACCCGCGCAGGCAGCAGGCGCGTGGCAGCATACGGCGCGGGACCCTGAGCAGCAGCAGCAGCAGCAGCAGCAGCAGCAGCAGCAGCAGCAGCAGCAGCAGCAGGAAGCTGAGGGGGCAGACGACAGCGGCAAGAAGCGGTACTCGCTGGCGGACACCTTTGCTGTGCTGGCGGGCAGCTTGGAAATTCGGTGCCTTGCGGTGATGAGCCTGGCCCAGGGGCTCTGCAGCTCGTTGATGGAATTTGTGTGGAAGGTGGGTGTGAAGAGGGCGCTGCAGGGGCGAGCTGGCCCATGGCCCCTCTGGTGGCGCAGGGGCCTGTGGTGGTTTGCCAGCTATACATCGCACCCATCGCCGCGCTGCCGCACCACGCCCCTGATGCGATGCATGCGACTGCTCCTTACCCATGTCCATCCTCACTCTACCCTGCCACCAATTCTCAGAGCCACATGCGCCTGCTGTACCCATCGCCCTCTGACTTCACGGCCTTTTTGGGCGACGTCGCCACCTGGACCGGCGTCGTCACTATTGGCCTCATGATCGTCAGCCCTGTACTGTTTGACCGCCTCGGCTGGCGTGGCGTCGCCAACGCTACACCTCAAATCCTGCTGTTTGGCGGCACCTTCTTCTTTGCCGCGGCTGTTGCCTACCAGCACTGGTTTGGCAGCGCAGCAGCCGCTGCAGCAGCGGCTGGCGTGGCTGCGCCGGCGCCCTGGCTGCTGGGAGGGCTAGTCATCGGGGGCGCGCTGCTGTATGCATTCAGCAAGGGCGCCAAGTTCTCCCTGTTCAAGCCGGCCGAGGAGATGGTGTACATCACGCTGGACGAGGCAGGCCGCACGCGTGGCAAGGCAGCCATTGACGTTGTCGGCGCGCAGGTGGGAGGGCAGTGCATCAGAGGATCCTGCTGAGGTCGTCGATGAGCGAGCTGCATTTGCAACCATCTTGGGACCTCTTGTTCATATTACTCAGAAATTTTGCGTTGTGGTTTCAGGGTGGTGAAACTGTTCACCGCCCTGACCCGCCTTGATCCCACCCGACAAACG